TTCTCACATATTCTTTGCTGTATTTCAAGGAGAGAGAGAGGCGATCCCCTCCATTTAATCTACAAATCCACCCATTCTCAGATGGTGTGAGCGCTCTACAGATCTACTGTATGAAAGAAGGTGTCAAGGTAGGCACACATGAAATTTTTTGTTTTTAGAAATTAGAAAAACTGAGAATTGGAAAAGGGGAAATTGTTCATGATTGTTTTGTTTTTCAATCACTGAATACAAATCATGTAGGAATTGCAAACAGTCACATCTGTTGGAAAAATCAATAAGAATATAAATGTGTCACACATACATGAACAGTAAGGACACAGGCAGTCATAATTATTTAGAACAGAGCAGTTCTGTTCTAATATCTTATTTATTAAGATAATTAGCCTTAATTAATGAGGGGAAATGTGAAAGTAAGTCAATACTTCACATAGCATATATCAAGACTGAAATGTAGCTCTGTGGTAGCGCTTGCTCAGCATGTATAAGGTTATGGGTTCCATTCCCGGTATTGCAAAATTAAAAATTTTAAAAATGAGAGAGAGAGAGAAAAAAAAAAAGACAGAGAAGCATATTGCAAGTCTGCAGATAAAAATGTATCTGATGAGTCCCTTTGTTGTGACTTTCTAGGTGCTATGGAATTCATTATTATGGGATTTTGGAATTAGAAGACATCTTTGAAATCATCTAGTTTGCTTGATATATTTAATTTAGAGAGGATTTCCACTTTGGAAGTGCTTCAGTTTTATAACATGTCACTTATTTAATAAAATAAAATCTACCCTTAGTGTTAATGGAATAAGGTGAAATTGAAGTATCTGCATTCCCCAGAAAATGTATTGTCCTTCCGTGTAATGAAATTGCACTGTGAGTTTCTCTTCCCAAGCTGCAGCTGTTATGCCTCCTGCTAATCCTGGTCTCTCTTTTATCCTCTGCATGGCCGGTCTGCTCCTACTCTGAGCTGCCAAACATGCCTGCTTCAGTTGCCTTCTCTCTTCCTATCACACAGAGATAGATTTTGCCTTTCCTGATGGCAGGGCTCTGCTGTGCTGTTGTTTGAACATGAGTAGGAGGAGGGAGTGGTATAATGAGGTTAAAAAAAAAA